CACCCGCTGGCAAAGTGGTGGTGGCCGGACCTCCAGGTAAGTGGCAGCGCCACGTGCAGACTCAAGCCCCGCCCCCTTCCCACCCCACGTATAGTTGAATTCGCGCAAGTTAAATGCGCGTATGATGCGACTGACCTGTAATGCTATAGTTTAAATCACTTCTAGACTGGAGAGGACATAAAAGAGTTTAGGGACATATAACTCCTACCCCACCTTCTAACCAAATGTGTAACCAAACACTGTACTCCCAATGTGCTAGTACTGATAGTTTTGTAGTTGGCTCTTGGTTGCTGCAAAGAGTATCACATGGGTGTGCAGGGAAAAAATTAGCAAGGCCAAGGCATAATTTGGGATGAAATTGGCAAGGGATATAAAAGGAAATAGAAAGGGAGTCTATAAGTACATCAAGAGTAAAAGGAAGACCAGAGAAACTGTCCCTCACAGATTGCAGAAGACAATCTAGTTATGACTGATGTAGAGAAAGCTGAAGTATTTAATGCCTTTTTACTTCATGTGTGGGCCGGCTCCCGATCCCATCCTCGCCATGTGCGAGCCGGGCCCGTCTTTGTGCACGCGGACTGTGGCCAGCAGCCCGGGCACGCGGGGCCGGAGAAAACCGTGGGGCGGTAAGGTACGCGCGAGCTAGAATCAGTTACGGAGGCGTAATGATTGATTGAAAAGATTATTTACTTACACCCCAGGTGGTCACAGTGTAGGCTGGACAGCTTTCCAGGCGCAGCTCCGTTTGAATCCTCGTTGGAGGACTCTGACAAACTTGGTTCTTTGACCCCGGAGTGGTTTAGACTCCGCGGGTTCGGCAATTCTTTCCTCACGGAGTGGCTGAATCTCCGTGGGTTCTGTTCGGTTCCCAGGTCCCCCGGAGCTGTTAAGACTCCGTGGGTTCGAAACTTGGGTATATAGGATAGGGATAAGTCTAGGATTGCGCTCGGTGATGGGGAGAGGCTAGAAGCTAAACAGACCTCCGTTGCCTGCTTAAGAAAGGTGCGTTGGGTCCGCAAGGGTCCACATCGCTTGGAGATCTTCACACAGCGAGAAGTCTCCTCCTCCTGGCGAGTTCTGTATCTCTCCAGGTTTCCTCTCTCTCCGACTTGGGCGGAAACTACCCAAGCCTTTTGTACGGCTAGCAAGCCAATAGCTAGCCGCCACGTATGCCTACATTTAGAACCGGCCAATAATGTGGCACGAATCCAAATACAAATGGCGGGAACTCCTTTGCACCGTGCATCACTATGATGCAAAAGAAATGCACCATGCAAAGAAGGCTACAAATGGCGGGAAATACTGTTCTGCACGCGGGTTCTCTATTGCAGCAGAAAACTCTACCGTGCAAAAAAAGCTGCAATTTGGCGGGAACATAATTTAGCGGTGCCGAAGCACACAAAAACAACAAATCACAACTTTGGGTTGTGACACTTCAGTCTTCACAAACAGGATCAGCAACCAAATGATGAGTACAGCTGGCAGGAAAGATAGGAAAGAGTAGAAGAGCCTCAAGTAATGACAGAATAGGTTAGGGATTACTTAGAGAAGCTAGATGCCTTCAAGTCAGCAGGGCCAGACTGGATACACCCTAGGGCAGGGTAAGCAAAATACAGCCCACAAGCCGGATCTAGGCTGCAGAGGGTCTCTGTCCGGCCCACAGCAGGTCCCTCGGTCCTGCCTGGCACAAGCGCCGTCCAGCCCATGATGTGTCCCACTGCCCCCTGGGCATCCAGTGGGGTTGGGGTGGCTCCACAGCTGAACTGCCTTTCTAACCAGCCCAGATAGCGGTGACTGTTTCTGGCTGCTGCCACCACTGGCCCCAGCTCCTTAGTACTGGCAGGGAGCCACGGGCACAGCCCTGACCCCAGTGCATCACGCGCCTGCTCCGCACCACCCACCCACACTGAGTAGTGGCAGCGGCTGGGCAGAAGCTGCTGCTCAGTGCCGGGGAAAAATAGTCCTTCCCCCACACCACTGCAGGTTTGTTCTTGCTGCAGCTCCCCAAAGCCTGTGCCTGGGCTGCCCTGCAGCTCCTCTGCACTGCCACCACTGCCCTGAGGGGCAGCCAGGAGGCAGCGGTGACAGCAACAGAGAGGAACCGCAGGGCAGCTCGGACGCAGGCCATGGGCAGCTACAGCAAGAACAACCCGGTAGTGGTGAGGGGGAGGGGTGGCTTTTCCCCCGTGCCGGCAGCATTGTGGGGGGTGGTGCAAGGCAGGCCTGGGCCGAGGTGACCCCAGTCACAGTAAGCAACAGTGTGCTCTTGTTGCAAAAAAATCAAAAGCATACTGGGTTTAGCAAAAGGAGTGTCACTTGCAAATCAAGAGAAGTGCTTTTTCTTCTCTATTTGGCCCTGGTGAGGCCTCACCTGGAATACCGCATCCAGTTTTGAGCACCGCACTTCAAGGAGGATGTGATAGATTAAAGAGTCAAATGTAGAGCGACATAAATAAGGGGCCTGAGAAACATGACTTACGAGGAATGGCAGAAAGAACTACAGATACTTAGTTGGGAGAAGAGAACACTGAAGGGGTTATCTGTTAAGTGTCTTCAAGTAACTTAAGGGTGATTATAGGGAGGATGGAAAGCAGCTTTTTTCTATGACCATAGGACTAGGAGCAATGGCCTTAAGCTGCAGCAAAGGAAATGTAGATTAGAAATTAGGAGGCACTTTCTGACTATGAAGGTGATCAAGCATTGGAAGAGGCTATCAAGAGAAGTTGTAGAATCTCTCTCCCTAGAAATTTTTAAGAGAGCAGGGTGGACAGAGAATTGGCTGGGATGGTTTAAGTCAGAGATGATCCTGCCTTGAGCAGGAGGTTGGACTAGATGACCTTGTGAGGTCCCTTCCAGCCCTAACCTCCTATGATCCTTATGAACATATAAAACTTTCTCCCAGCACTTCCAAAGCCCAGCTTTGACTTAAATATTAACTCATATTTTAAAATAATATTCTGTTTGACACAAATCCCACCCTGCTGCTAAATTCACTTTTCCAATCTACATTGTGGTTCTTGTCAGGTCACTTCTGTTCTCCCTAAATGATTTCTACTAAGTTCAACACCTGTAGGTAGAGTGAAAGCTCTATCATGCAGAGTTTGGCACTTGCATCTTGAATCGCATTCATTACAACAAGATTAGCGATTTGATTTGGATATATGGTATAAAGACATGTTACTTGGGAAAACAAGACAGGAGGTTGTTTAATCAACTACATGCAATAGGATTTCTTTGCTTTTCCATACCTGCACTTGACCAAGGAGCCTGGACTGCTGGCTTGGCTGGCTCTTGATGTTGTTGGAAAAGCTTATTTAGCTTTTCTTGCATGTCCTGCTTGCCCTTCTCCTCACTTTCTTTCTTCTTGGTTATTTCTTCCCTTTTTAGCTTTTCATCTTCCTGAAGTTTTTTTTGCCGCTGGTGTTCCTCCTCCTGTTGAACTCGATCAAGCCACTGTTTATCCCGTTCCTGGATTCGTCTGTTAATTAAGATAATTTTAAAGCAAAGTGAAATAAGCTTAATATTTAACTGTCCCTGTGATTTGATCATTAATTGTACAGCTATAGTTTCTCTATGCGCTTCTATGTTTCTATTAGTATTAATAGAGCTATTAATAGAGCCGTGATACCACCCAAGTGCTGGAAAGAATCCTAAAGAATAAGGCAGACTTGTTGGTAGAGATCAGTAGCAGAAACTAACTTGGCAGTGACTCTCACCAAAAAAAGGCAATACTATTGTATTTTACAGGAGAGACTGACCTCAGTGGGATCCAAACATATTGCTTACACAATGCTAAGGATTCTAAGGGCATATAAACATAGCCATAGAGTTCTTGGGGAACTGTAAGATTTTACTCTCAACCTGAGCCATGATCTTTCATTTTCCATACAGCAAAGTTAAAGCAGAGACAAACCTACTTAGCCTCTCATTTTTTATGACAAAACAGATTTACATAGACATCTGCATTTACAGTTAGTATTAAGCTGGTATTATTAGGAGAATCAAAAATCTGGCTTTCTCCAATTTCTGCAGATCCCAGTCTTTCAGACCCTGCACTTGCAGATTCAAAAATACTGTATTTTATTCCTATAGTGTTGCACAGCAATATAAATGTAACCTACAAAAAAGTAATTCTAAGAGCAAAGGAGTGCAGGGAAAAATCCACAAAACCAATACATCTAGGAGCCTATAGTTAGGAACTTTAGTGTCCTGTGAAAACTGCTTCTCAAAAATCCCTTTCCTACCCAGGACCAAGCAACAGCACATTCATAATGATTTGAGTCAGTTCTATGGTTATCACTTTCACTTGCCTACAAATGCTTTTAATTTACTCTGTTACAGATAAGAGCTACAGCTACGACCGGATATTTTCAGTATTGAATTCTACCCCAGATTTTCCGTCACTTATAATCAGAAGCACATTACAATCCTCATCCCATCTACATAAAATACTGTGTTTAAGTGGCTTCACAATAAAGGGGCCAAGCAAGAGAACCAGGCAGCCGCCTCTCACGAGCAAATATCCAATACCAGTGCCACCCTACTGAGCATCAAATTGGCCAGTACTACAGACAGCAGATGGAAGCTACTACATCCCTGCTCTGACAACTGCCCCATATAGAGCAGTCTTGCCTAACTGGCACAAAATTTTCACAGTCCAGATGTAAAATGCTACTTGTCCATCCTTACCTCAGTGGATGCAAAGGGGGGGGGGGGGGGGTGATGTTCTGCCAAAAACACTGTTTGCCCCAGGATCAGTGGATAAAGGGAATCTTGCAAGAACATAACAGATGTTACAACCTTTACCATTTTGCTCCTCTGACCTATTCCCATGTTATACTTTTTATTTTATTTTTTTAAAGGAAAGAAATATGGGCCTGCATGTGGCAGTTATGAACTTGACCTACTGTACGGTATGTGTCTTGCTCAATTAAAAGGACCAGAGCATGTGCACATGGGGTTATACTTGCTAACAGGCAAAAGCTGCTGTTCAGATACTAGGTTGATGCCTAGTCAGCAGAATCACTCAGCAGGTGCTAAGGTGAGATGAGTCAACAAGCATGTTAAAACTTTCTGTACAGAATTTGAACCCGCACTGTGACACCTAGGCTGTAGGCATACCATAGGCCTCAACAGTAACAGCACCAGGCTTCATGGGGATTGTGAAAATTGGTACCACTTTCAGTACATTGGTATGAGTAAGGGTGAAGAAAGACCTAGAATGGTTAAAACAATACTGTTTCCTCTTCTTTGAAATTCTGCCAGATCTTTCTGCTGCCAGGTTTATGTCATTTAACTTTATTTAATAAAGCCGGAGCCCTGTCAGCCGTTTGCTTCAAATATTAATTTGTATCTGTCCTCAGCTGTATGCTCCCTTGCAAAGGCATGTAGACTGAGAATCAATTATTCAGCAGTTTTGTTACAGTATTATTAAGACTGCACTACATAAACAGGGAAAGCCATCTTTTGACAGCATGAAGCATCATTTAATGATGTTATACATGCTGAGTTTGTTCACAGAGGGTTTTGCTGGGGTGCTGGGAGTTTTTAATCCCGTGATTAAGTCTATCCAATCTTAAAGTCAACTGTTATGCAACTGACGTTAATGTAAGCAGCAGAGAATAACCACTTCAAACAAAAGCTGCAAGATTTGTCCCTTTGATGAGCGTGTAAATCGAAACAGTCCACTACTTCTAGCAACAGGAAATACCTCCCTGCAATCACCCATGCAAGGTAGTTTGTTAGAGTTTGACCCAGCACAAAAAGGACACAAGAACTGGACAAATTCCATGGGGCAGAGGAAGAGGACAAGACAGATTGTGCCCCTCTCTGCATTACACATAAACCACAATGCCAGAGGGTAACGGCAGGCATAACAATCATATCAGAAACCAATCCAAGCAATTACGATGCAACTGCTACATCTGCATGATTCTGCAGTGAGACACAAGCGCAGCAAAAATGTTCCAACTTTAACCCTGCTTCATTCAGAGTCAAAGTTAAGGTGGTTTGTTTAGCTTACCTGTATCACTACAGGATTGTGCAGATGTAACATAACAGCAGCTGCACACTTTTGAGCGGCAGCTCCCCCTCTTCTTTTAAGGTTGTAAAATATTTGTTTGTGTGCGCCCAGAATTTGATTACTCTGGCCTTTAAACCAGAATTCATAGTGTAGAAGCAGACTTCAGCTAAATTTCTTATTTACCAATATCACGTCTGCACTCTTCTTACTCCCAAAAGCTAAGTTCTGTCACACTACTCAAAACTTGATTTTCCTGTGCTGCACAGTGCCATATGATCTTATCACTCATCTTAGGCATTCAGTAAAGATCTCTACATTCAAGAAATTTGGGTCATCTCAAATTTCTCTGCTAAACTAGTAATGTACAGTTACTTCTGCTATTCTCAGTGCATAATTATCAATATTAAAATCAAGTTAAGAACATTTTCAAAAGAAATTGGTTGCTAGTCAAGCCCTGAATATGCCTAAGGGTTGAGCCAATGTATTGATGAGTATAAATTGTTCTCTTTTATTTTACTACAGATACATGGTTGATTGCAATGTAATAAAGTACTTCAAATCCCATCCTTCTGCCCTATATTCATGTGGGATGTCATTGCCTAAGTATAATACAGAAACACAGATACTATAAAAAAAATTCCACTGGCCTAAGAGTCATTTGAATCTTTTTTTTACTTTATTTCCTTCTCCTATTCTCTGCTTTTTCTCACCTAGTCTCTAACCCATTCTATCCAGCTTCATTCCATTCTTTTCTCTTGTATATTGCTCTTATCCATCATTGAAAAACAACCACTTTCTTTTAGTCTCATATATTCACTCATCCTCTCTTGCTCCCTCAGAACAGATTTTGTTCCCTTCTCCTTTCAGTCATCCTTGTTCCCATCTGTGTTGCATTGCAAAAATGCAAGAACGATCAAAATAAGGAAAACATAGAAGTCTAATATTCAATGGATATATTATCAATTATGTTCTATTCACTTGCTGTTTGACCTTTCTGCAGATTTCTGCAAGGTTTAGAAGGCAAAATTAAGGTTACTGGTGACGTAAGCAAGATGGGGCAAGCAAGTGATTAATAATTATATGACTGTGGGAAATTAAATGAATTGTTAAACTGTTGTTTGCAAGACTGAACATTAGAGTTTAACATAGGAGCTGCAGGATTTGCCATCTTTATGAATGTAAAGATTTTTAAATACTGTATTTACTCAAATCTAAGTTGATGCTGAATTTAAGGTGACCCCCCCCAATAATTAGGTCCTATATATGGAAAACTTACAAATTTGTTATAATTTTCCAGGTGTAGAATCTAGTTATTGAAAGGTTGTCTTAAATGTGTCCCCTTCTCACCCCCACACTGCTACAGCAAGGAAAGCAGTGGCCAGGAAGGGAAGGGTCAGGTGGCTAGGAGGGGTTTCTGCAAAAAAGATTTTTTTAAACAATGTTTTAAAAATTGGTTTGGCTGAGGAAGCAGTAACACAAGTCACTTACCACAGATCACTCAAACAATGCACCATGGGACATGTTCAAATTTAAGGATTCCTACTTTCAGTTCTTTGTTATAACCACCTGGCCAGGTAAGACTAAGAAGCCACTATTCCCAACATGCTACAGCATGCACTGGGTTTCAAAAGAACTTCAATAAAATAAGTTTAAGTGCTGACAGCCTTATTTTCATAACTACTGTAACAAAATCTCTCTCATGGAAGATAACTGGCTTTTAGTCTGCATATCATAGATTCATAGATGTTAGGGTCGGAAGGGACCTCAATAGATCATCGAGTCCGACCCCCTGCATAGGCAGGAAATAGTGCTGGGTT